GTAATCATTTGGTCAGGCTGGCTATGGTGAAATACAAACAACAGATGCAAATGAAGCTATTTAAAGGGATGTTAACACATCACTAATACTTGCTTCCACAATATGCAGAGCGGAGAGCTCTAGTGTAGAAGTCAGTGGTATGTGAAATGTAAATTGATTTTTCCTTCAGTTTGTATAGTTCAGGGTCATGATAGGACAGAAAGTCAAGTAGAATAAGAGCCATTGTGTTGAAATGTTAGTACCAGGAAGTAGAAGTAAATCTTTTTCAGAATCACCTTCTTTCATGGCACAAGTCATGATTTTGCTGGCTAGAACTCACTGAGTTCTAGCCTAATTTATTGGAGATGGGAACACTTACATGCCTCATGAGGAAGTAGATACAAGGTTAGTTTTAGGCATTTTCCCTTGTTTCTACATGGACAATCCAGATAAAGTTTTTTGCTGGTTTCAAGACTTAGAATTCAGCAAAGGTGAGTCAGCTTCCCTTATTATTATGTAATGTGTAAATTTACCCTATTTCTGTTGAAAACAAAATAAGCAAGAATATTAAAAGGCTGGAATGTTCCTCTTTGAGTTGGATATTTAAAAGCTGTCTAGATCTGGGCATTGTGATATATATACCTTGAATTGTAAGTTAAGGCAATCCTGGGCTACATAGTGAGTCCCTGTCTCAAATAATACAGAACAACCAGAATTTGGAAAAAAAAAAATGTGGAAGTAGTAATGATTGTTTCTTTTAAGAGGAACTTTGGGGTTTATTTGGTTTCCCCCTGTGCAGCTCATGCTAGAAATAGTCTCTTGTTTGTGTTTAGTTGATACTTAGTTACTCAACCTTGATTCTTTGCTGTTATTTTATATATTGTTTTGTGCAGAAGAGGAAGCTGAAATTCTGGGGAAGGAGTAATGGCAGGTGAGTGGCACAAACTCTGAAGATGTGGCAGTTTGAGGAGGCTTTGCAGCCACTGCTGTGGACCAGTCTCAGAGCCGCGGCTCATCTCACATGCATCTATTTTCCCTAAGCTTCTGTTCACTCTTGTTTTCAGGGAAGTGGGAATGTCCTTGGCACCAGTGTGACGTATGTGGGAAGGAAGCAGCCTCCTTTTGTGAGATGTGTCCCAGCTCCTTTTGCAAGCAGCATCGAGAAGGGATGCTTTTCATTTCCAAGCTCGATGGGCGTCTGTCTTGTACTGAACATGATCCCTGTGGGCCCAACCCTCTGGAACCAGGGGAGATCCGTGAGTATGTGCCACCCCCAGGGCAACTGCCTCCAAGCCCCAGCACTCAACTGACAGAGCAGTCATCAGGAATGGCTACTCAGGGACCCAAGATGCCTGATCAGCCACCTACTGATGCCACCCAGACGCTGCCAGTCTCCAAAAAAGCCCTGACAGGGACTTGTCAGAGACCACTGCTACCTGAAAGACCTGAGAGAACTGAGTCTAGCTCCCACATTTTAGATAGGGTTAGAGACCTTGCTGGGTCAGGGACCAAATCCTTGGTATCCAACCAGAGGCCACAGGACAGACCACCTGCTAAAGAAGGACCAAGACCTCAACCATCTGACAGAGCCTCTTCAATGACCAAGCCAAGCTCCTCACCCTCAGTCAGATCCCTGCCACTGGAAAGACCTCTGGGAATGATTGACCCAAGGCTGGATAAATCCATAGGTGCTGCCAGCCCAAAGTCCCAGTCAGTGGAGAAATCCCCAGCCCCCACTGGCCTGAGACTTTCACCACCAGACAGACTGTTGACTACCAGCAGTCCCAAACCCCAGATTTCTGATAGGCCCCCAGACAAATCACATGCCTCTTTGACCCAGAGACTTCCTCCTCCTGAGAAAGTACTATCAGCTGTGGTCCAGTCTCTGGTAGCTAAAGAAAAAGCACTGAGGCCTGTGGATCAGAACACTCAGTCAAAGCACAGATCTGCGCTAGTGATGGATCTCATAGACCTAACTCCTCGCCAGAAGGAGAGGGCTGGTTCTCCTCATGAAGTCACACCACAGGCTGATGAAAAGATGCCAGTGCTGGAGTCAAGCTCATGGCCATCTAGCAAAGGTCTGGGGCATATGCCACGAGCTACAGAGAAAAGCAGCATGTCAGAATCCCTTCCGCCAGCTGGGAAAGCAGCAACTCCTTCAGAACACCCTTGGCAAGCTGTTAAGTCACTCACCCAGGCCAGACTTCTTTCTCCGTCTTCTGCCAAGGCTTTTTTATATGAATCAGCAACTCAAGCCTCAGGAAGAGCTCCTGTGGGAGCCGAGCAGACCCCAGGACCTCCCAGCACAGCACCCAGCATCATTAAACAGGGGAAGCAGCTATCTAGAGGACTTACTGCCAAGAGTGGACAGTCCTTCAGGTCTCTTGGGAAGATCCCAGCTTCTCTCCCCAATGAAGAGAAGAAGTTAACAACCACAGAACAGAGTCCCTGGGGCCTGGGAAAAGCCTCACCAGGGGCAGGGCTTTGGCCGATAGTGGCTGGACAAACACTAGCCCAAGCTTGCTGGTCTACTGGGGGCACACAGACATTGGCACAAACTTGTTGGTCCCTTGGAAGAGGGCAAGACCCCAAACCAGAGCAAAATACACTTCAAGCTCTTAAGCAGGCTCCTTCTAGTCGCAAATGTGCAGAGTCAGAACAGAAATAATGCAGTAAATATCACATAACCAGGCAAGCTGTCCCCAGGGTGCCATTGGGGTTGGGGGGGGATAATCCTTCTTTCCTTTTCCTTCTTAAAAAACAGTCATATTCCCAACACTTCCACTGTTCTTCTTTCCTTCTTTCCCAGCACTCAGAACTCTCGTGGCATTAGCCCATGGGGACTTGTGGTTGTGTGAACCATGTATGGAAATCGTCGGGCCCCAGTCAAGGAGACAGACAGACTTGAGTCTCTGTGCCCTAACTTTTACATATGGTCAACTTAAAATAAAAAGTCCACTCTGGAATCAAGCATGGAATTCAATTCCACTGGTCAAGTTGGAAAGTATAGAGGCTCACAAAGCTACTTCCCTGGCCCAGCAGTGCCCCGTTGAGAACACCTGATAAACCTTTAGGAGGATCTGACGCTCATTCAAATCACTGGCAGTTTTCTGATTATTGCTGTATGCTAGGTCAGGAGGCTAGTCATTGTGTAAGACAGAATTACATAAGGCCTGACTTGCCTGCCTGGGCCTCCAGGCAGATTCAAGGACCTCTGACCAGGAAACAGCAGAAAGTACTGCTAGGCCATGGGTTTCCAGGTTTGTTCTCAAATATTTTTGTGTGTATGTGTGCGTGTGTGGCCCAGAATGTGTCTGTATTGAACATGTTTCCTGGTTGGACCTTGCATGCATGTGCGTGCCTGCAAAGCTCTTCTCTGTAAATGGAAGGGTGCTACATCAAGGCCAAGGCGAGCTATTGACTGGGACTCTTTACCTGTGTATTACAGTCTGAAGATTTATTCTTGGAGGAGCATCAGGTTAGAGGGAGCTGGTTTCTGAGAATGTAGTGTCCCAGAAGTGGACAAAAGAAATTGGCAAGCTTACCTTTCTTTTCTACCAATAATCCTTTTCTAAGAACCTACCCCATCCGCATTTCCTCAAACACTCAGGTGCTTTCAGATTTCAGTCTCGGGCAGTGGACATAGGGAATTTCTGGCAAACTCCTAGCAAGACACACCACCTTCAAGAAGAGTGTCAGATTCTGATAGAAATTTTCTCCCGGTCTCATGCCCTCCTCTACCTGAAGGGAGAGAACCCTCTCCACCTCCCTGCAGATTGTTGTGCTTTCTGTTACAGAGAGCACATGCCTGGTCACTTAGCTCAATGGCAAGCCAGAACCCTTCCCCAAGACTGGAGAGACATGGTGTTTGGAGCAGTGTCCAATCTAAGACGACTCCTCATAACTGCTGATTATCTGTTACTGCTGCCCTGAGCTGGGGCCCAAGGGCTGGGAATCTGTTGGTGCTACCCTGCCCTGCCATTTCCCCAGCTCACAAACTGCCAACAAAGTGCTGTTTGGCTAGTTCTCTCACACTCACCCTGCCCTTTATCCTCAGACCATGTGTTTGTTTACCTGTCTGCTTTGCCAGCTTAGTATTTTTAGCTAACAAATGGCATCTCCTGGCCAAAACATCTGGTCTTTCTGTCCCAGTTACAGCTTTTATACCCTCAACAGGATTCTGTTTGCCCCAGGTTCCTCCTAAGTTCCTGTTGAGGTTAGCTCCCATCACTTTTCAGGAAAGAACAGTGGTGGTGACTGAAGCATTTGTGCTTTATATAAAAATTGAGAATAGTATCTGCTTTTATTTCCCCAAGTCTGTCTCTGGGGTAGAAACCCCTGAACTCAGGCAGGGGGTGAAGCTAGGACAGGGCTGACCCGAGTTTGGGTCCCTGCACCTGAGACCTCAGAATCTCCTCTCTGAATTACGCCTGCCTAGTTCTCCCCTTTCCTCCTCTCTCTTTCCACATCATCAGAGTGAGAAAAGCTCTGTGTTCAAAAGGAAGAGAAAACATAAAGCATCTTATTTTCTTTTAAAAAAAATTTTAAACCATGAAGAAAATATTTTTAAAGAAATTCACCCGGGACATTAAAGTTGACTATATTGCATATTTATCATGTGTGAGAATATTAGTATATAATTGCAGCTAGTAGGCCCATTTCCTGATTTCTTAGGTTGTGTGTGTAGGTTTGCTTGGTGCCAGTCCTGTGCCCTTTGCTCTCCTGTCATCTGTAGTTGTGATCAGAAACAGATGTCTGCACTGCACTGTCGGAGTCTCTGTTCACTATGTTGTGTGTTTGATTACCGTAGCTCTGTTTCATGAAATAAACTGTGAATTGGGGGGTGGGGGGTTGCAGGCTATGTAAAAATTTTAAGTGGAGAAGTTTAGTCTTGACTTAACTTCTCTAAAATAGGTTTCAGTAGTTAATTGGCTTTGACAGCTGTCTAGAAGTGTCTCACAGGAGGGAGGGATGGGGTCATGATTGGCCACTTGTGTTTGTTGCAATATTTTCTTTCACCACCATTCTTTGGAGCCTTCCTTCCAGACCTGCCGCGAAAACATCTGAGTTGTGTACTTGTGGTGTGGAGGGATTGAGGGGCATGGGTGAGAAACAACCCTTCTAATGACAGGCACGTTTTGTCCAGGGTCACTGAAAGACTCTCAGGTTGTTGAGACATTTGAGCGAGACCCACAGCTAACAGCATGAGTCGTGTTAAAATTGGGTATTGGTTACTGTCCTTCAGTAACAAGTGCTTAGGGAGCAGGGACTTGAGTGTGAAGGTGGGAAGAGGGTGACCTTGCAGTTCTTCTGGGCTGCGTTTGAATCCTGTAATAACCCTTTCTTTGAGGGTGTGAATTGGCAGCACAGAAAATCTTATTAGAAACTTCTGGTCAATGGACAGGTGGTATTTTGGCATTGACATTTGGCTGAGTGCTTGAAATTTGGATTGCCAGAGAGTCTACCTGTGAGACAGCACCCAGAAAGTTCTTTCCAGGGACAAGCCAAAGGCAGAAATGCTCCTAGGTAGTGACTACACTTGTTTAGAGGGGAAAGGGGGGGAAATTGAAATTTGCATTCAAAACTTCATTTGTTCTTCCTGTTGGAGCCAACCCATTTTAATAGAAGATAGCCACCATTTACACCCCCCCCCCAGTATTTTTAGATGTCTGCTTTCCTAAAATTACTGAGTTTGAAATTATTTACATAACTGTGTCAAGTTTTTTAACGAATTCTGCATCTTTGGTATTCATATCCTCTACCCCACACGTATGGTCTGGGCTTGAAGTGCAGTAGTAGTGAGCCTTCGTGGCTCTGCACTGTCAGTTCACTGAAGCTGAACTTTAAGATTGTATTCCAGTGTTGTTCCACAACTGACAGGAAGGATAGGTCTAGGTTGTCCATGCAGGGCAATCAGGAGAGCATTCAATCAGATGGGTCTTGCCCCGGCTCCAAAAAATTAAGTTTTCTAAAACTTGTCAGGATATTGTTATCTTCTTGGGGGTGTTGTCATTGAATGAAAAAAGGCCCAGTGTCCTCACCTCCTAGAACAGAGGACATGAACAGCAGCAGGAATTTCCTGCTGTTAAAATTGAGTGATTAATGTTAAAAGTATCCCAAGTCATTTAGACCTAGGTAGCTTCTGCGGGAGCTTTGATTGGCTATGACCAGTTTGTTTTCAGCTGAGCTTCCTAGGTCAGTGCAGTTCTATAGTGTAAATTGAAATACAAATAATTGCTATGTACACAAAACAATGTAATGATGGTGCTAATCTCATGGTATAAGTAAGCACTGCCAAGGGTTGAGGAAGTGATGACATGAGAAACCCCGGTTCCCATTTGGGAAGATAATTTATGTAGGTTCCTTTCAGCTCTTTGAGAGATAGGCGGCAGTGTCATTGATGCCTGCCAACCCAACCCTGGAGTTTTTAGTACGATCCAGAGGTGAAGAGATGATCCCAAATCCAGATGGCCCCTGAGTTTCTCGGGGCTAGGGTCACCTTAGTCCCATCCTGCCTAGGACAGGTTAGAAGAGAACCGTGGGTGTGGGATATCCACTACCTTCTGCTTCTCTACCTCTTCCCCTCTCGTGGCAGCATCTCAATTGCTTATGAATAAGGGCAATGTCTCTTAGGAACGTTGGGAGAGTTTATTTTATTTAGACAACTACAACCTCAAAAGAGATGTTTTCTTACCAACATAAGCAAAACAAAAACTCTTTTGTGGTCTTTACCCTAGAGTAGCCTTCCTGTGACTTTCAGAACGTCAGACTATGAGGGGCTCCAGGAGTAGCTCTGGGGAACTTAGCAGTTTTGACAGGTGAGCAGAGTAGAAACCAAGGAGGGTCCTGGTGTTCTCATTCCAGGGTGGACAGAGTAGGTGGTCTCCAGGCTGTGGTGCTGCTGCCTTATGTATGTAGGTGAGTGTGGAAGTTGGGTGAGTACAGCACCTAGGAGCTCATGGAAAAGCAGCTTTTTAGGTCTTGGCAAAGCTGACTAGAAAGCTCTACTTTTTAAATGGGGAAAAGGGTTCAGCCAAGGTCCATCACTGTGTTCTCTCACGCCCCCCCCCCAACAGATTGTCAGCTGGAAGTGAACCTCCTAGTGAAAAAGAGGGGAACCCTGTGCTAGGAGTCCCCATAAACATGTACTGTAATTCTTTGTATATAGAAAAAAATTACTGTAAAGTAAAGTTTAACTTTACTCTTATGGCCCTTGCCCTGTGTTTTTATTGTCTCTGGGGAGATGTAGCATAAGACAGAGGACTGACTGGTTTGGGGTAAGAGCTGGAGCCAACGTGAGCCTGAGGCCTTCAAGAACTTGAAAATTGACCTCCCAGGTTCCACTGGCTGCCTAATATCCTTCCTTTCCATTGGGAGTTGTAAAATATTTCTGTGTAGCCCTTGGCTGTCCTGGAACTCAATCTGCAGGCCAGGCTGGCCTTGAACTACATCTCCAAGTGCTGGAAGTAAAGGCCAGCACCACCCTCAAGGGCATTTTGAGGAATTAAAGAGAAATGAAACCAGTGCATTTGGGTTGTTTTGAGACATTCTCACTATACTACGCAGTCCAGGTGCACCTCAAACTAGTCTCCCTCTTGCCTGGCTGCCCAGTTAGTGCTTGGATGTCAGAGAAATGGTGCCAAGATGCCTTCTGGGCAGGAATAGGACCAGGTTGGTATTTCTGAAATCTTCAAAGACAAAGGGGCCCTGAACTGGCATCACACCCTCACACTTAACTGGGAAGGACTGCAATACACTTCCTTATTTTTAAACAGGAAGTGTTAGCCCTTTTTACATTACCATCTAGCTTTTCAGTGTATTTCTGATCTGAACAAACTAGCAGTTGCCTCAGTTTTTTCTCTTTTTATTTATTTACTTAGGATTTTGTGAGTTTATTGTTTTGTTTTTATGGGGGTGGGAATTTTACTGTGTAGCTGTGGTGGCCTGGAACTCAGAGGCCCATGCCCCCGCCTCCCGAGTGCTGGGATTAAAGACAAGCCATCACTCTGTCTTTGAATCCTTTTGGTTTGGTTTTTTGTGGGTTTTTTTTCTTATGGTGTGTGTGTGGATTTTCGTTTATTTTTCAAAACAGGGTTTCTCTGTGTTATCGTTGTCATGGAACTCGATTTGTTGACCAGGCTGGCCTCAAACTCAGATCCACCTGACTGCCTCCCTAGCACTGGGATTAAAGGTGAGCACCACCACCACCCAGTTTAAGTCCTTTTTTTTAAAAAAAGCTAAATTGCATCCATAAATTCTTTTTGACTTACAGAACTATGGATTGCCTCTTGTTAAATATATTACAGGGTAATCCTGGGAAGTTTAGGACTGAGTCACAGCCCTGAGCCACACACAGGTCTAGACATGATACAAGAAGTTGAACTTTTATATGTGGGTACAACGTACATGCTTTCCTTGCTCTTAGGAGTTTGTATTCCTCCATCCCAGCGTCTAAGCCTATTTCATCCCCACAAGAGAAAAGAAACTGCTGTATCAGTCAGTGGTAAAGTTCCTGACTGGTATGTTAGAAGCCTTGGGGGTTGCTCTACATCTACATGCACACACACACACACATACACACACACATGGAACTGTGCGTGGGGACATTAGAGCCCATTGCTTCTCCATGATTTCAGTGACTCGCTATTTGGTTTCCAAATGCTATCTTACAGGCAGTGAGGCCAGGGAGGCAGCCCCAAGAACAACTAGGTGTTCTGACTCCCAGTGCACACAACAGGGAAGGGGCTGTGAATCACAGTGCATCAATTTTATTTACAGTTCAGAAGCTAGTTAAATAATCTATGGACAGAAGTTCTGTCCAGGACACAAGCCTGGGAGTCAAATCAGCCCTTATCCCTCTTCATGCCCACAATCTGCCCAATACTGCCTCCATTCCATGGGCCAGCACAGGCAGGTGCCACCTCTGCTGCCATGGGGACCTGGAGTAGCTCAGACACTTGACCATGCCAGCCCAGACAAGAATTGGGTTCAAGCCCTCTGGGGAATTCATTTAATTCTCCCAGGCCAGATGAGTCGTGGCTCAGTGATGACAGCAGCTGTAGAAGTAAGGGTTTGCCTTCTGGCTCAAGTCCACACCTTTGTCCTCTGTCAAAGAGAGAGGTGGCTGCTCAGCACTATTATGGTGGTGATCAGGTAAGTCACCAGCAGGACTAGAGTGCATGAGCCTAGAGGATATCTTAATAGGTGGGGAGTACACACCTGTCATCACCTGGAAAGCAGCCACACTGACGTAATCCTCTGCCACTTTCTGGAAGAGCTCGTCTGGCAAGCAAAGGATCAGTGAGGCCCTGAGAACTCCCAGTGACCCAGCCCTCTGAACCTTTTTTCCTTTAGTGTCCTGCCTTCTGCTGGCAGGCCCCAAGACAGCACTCACCCACACTCTGGCCTGTCTTGCTGGATGTTTCAAAGAGCTGGGCTTTGATATCTGCAAAGATAAGTGACTTAAGTCTTTTATCCCTGGGAATCAGGACCTAAATGTGGCTAATAGTTCAGTGTCCTGGATCCGATAGGTTCAAGAAGGCCAGAAAGCAGCCAAGGGTGTCAGTCTGCCGTCCTTGTAATCCACTCAAGCAGGTAACACCCACCCTCTGCCCCTCCCCCCCACCCTCAAAGGCTTTAGAACATTTACTATCTGCATAATCTTGGACATCGTGGAAGTCTACACGACGGCGCCGCCTGTCTTCCTCCAGCAGGTCACTCTTAGTGCCACACAGGTAGATTTGACAGCCCTGTAGCAGAAGACAAGGCTGAGATTATCTCCACAGACCAACAGAGTCCCTGTCGCCGATCTGTGGGATCTGGCCACCTACCTCTTCTAAACTGCGCAGCTCCTTCACCCAGAATTTGGCTCTCTCAAAACTGCTGCTGTCAGTGAGGTCTTGGTGTAGGGGTTAGACAGGAGACACAATCAAGGATCAGTGGTTTCCCTCTGTTGTTGGCCTATAACCCAACCAACCCTTAAAACAGGCCAGAATCCAACCCCTTACCATAACAAACAATGGCAGCTTTGGCGCCCCGATAATAGATTCTACTCATGGCTTCGTAGCGCTCTGATCCTGCTGTGTCCTGGGGGTGAAGGTAAGCTCCTTCATAAGTCTTAGGAACAAGGCCCGCGTCTTCCAAACCCCCACTTTTTTTTTTTTAATTTTAGATAAATGAATAGGTGTGGGGAAGGAAAAACGACCTCTATAAGGCTCCGGTTGGCTAGTTTAAGAGGAAAGACATTAAACCTCGGAAATGGTTTTGCTCAAGACTATATCCCCAAAGGACTTACCCAAATACCCAGAGTCACCGTCCGGTCTCCAACGCACATCACCTTGGCCACGAAGGCAGCCCCAATGGTCTGCAAGCAGGTAAGAGATAAGAGTCGAATGCAGACCGTCCCGCCTCTTCCCATGCCTGGCCCGGAGGGGTGCACTTACGTTCTGATATGGGCCCACCAAGAAGCGGTCGTGCACGTATCGCTCCACCAGGCTTGTCTTGCCCACGTATTCCTTGCCCAGCATAACCACCTTGACGTCCACGCGCTGCCCGCTCATGCTCCCAGGGCCGCCTCACTCACGTCTGGGTCCGCGCGGCCCAGGCAGAGCCCAAGCCTCAGACCCTAACCCCAAGGGCCTCGCTCGTCTCAGGCCCCCGAAGCTTCGGCCGGAGCGCTCCGTCCCGAGCAGAGTCGCGGCGCAGGGACGCGGATAGCGCCCTCCGCCGCACCGCCGATCCCTGCACCGCTCACCCGTGCGGACGCTGCTGCGACTGAGGCTCCGCCGAGCCGGGGTTACCGACTGAAACCAGGGTACCCGCAGCTAACTCCAGCCAGCACCTCCGTAACTGGACGCCAGAGGGCGGGACGTCCGATCACGTGGGCGAGCGCCGGAAGTGGCCGAACCTACGCGGCCGGCGCCGGAAGCGTCGCGCAGTCTTGTAGTCCCTCATGGCGGCCGTAGGGACCTGGGCGCGGTGCGGCGGTGACTGAGCTGCGAGCCTGGCGGGCGTGCGCCGAGCCACGTGTCCCCCACCCCCGGGCTCTTCACCCTGATGCTGCACGGGTGCTGAGCCCGTCCGGGTCGGGACGATGGTGAAGTATTTCCTGGGCCAGAGCGTGCTCCGAAGTTCCTGGGACCAAGTGTTCGCTGCCTTCTGGCAACGGTACCCGAATCCCTATAGGTACGTGGCGGTGGGTAGAGCGAATGGCCGTCCTTTCTCCATCTGAAGGTTGGAGTGGAGCCTGTCCTTGAGTTTGGGGGCCAGGAAAGACACAGGACAGCGAATCTGACGTGGTGTCTCTGGAACTGTGGCCACAGTTAGAGCACAAAGTCCTTGTTAAGATTAGGACCGGGCCAAGCCTACAAGGTCCTCGAAGAAGACTGTCTACGCTATGATTTATATGAGGGTCTAGATTTTTATTTTGTGGTCTCAAGGTGTTGAGACAGGAAGAGGCGGCGACACAGGTGTTGAGAGTTACCTTGGGGTTTGGGAATCCTGGCGATGGCCTGCTCACCTGCCCGTGGCGCTCCCTAGTGGTACAAATCTTGGAGATTGGAAAAACGTCAGAAACCAGGTCAGGGAGGAGGAGGGGATTGGAATTTGCCCGGGGATCGGTTCAGTATGCTGTTAACTTTGAACCCAGGTACAGATCACTCAGTAAGATTGCAGGAAGCTATGACCTGGAGGCTCCAAATGGGAACCCGTAGACAGTTTATCAGGAGCAGACTTCTGAGAATCATCTTTACTGTAACACCCGCAGCAAACATGTCTTAACGGAAGACATAGTACACCGGGAGGTGACCCCTGACCAGAAGCTTCTGTCCCGGAGACTCCTGACCAAGACCAACAGGATGCCACGTTGGGCAGAGCGACTTTTTCCTGCCAACGTT